TTGAGTAAGGCCTGGAGATGAGCTAACACGAATGCACGGTGTTGAGAATCCTGCTATGATTGTGCAGAGACTGTCCTTGCTCACAGAAGACACGCCATGGCATTTAGGAGTGAGAGGCCATGCACCTGAAACTTACTCTCATTGGTTCATAAAAATAAGACATACATTTATTTTTTGCACACACACCCAGGGGCGGGTGATAAGGCAGCATGTTTTCAATTGAGAAATCTAGGAGGAGGAGATGGGAGTTACCCGTAGGATTCTAGTGATTTTTCTGTAAGATCAAAGTTAAGTCAAAATGAAAAAAATCTTAAAGTGTCTGCCCTGATGTGACCTGACTCCGCTACCTCAGGGCCCCTGCTCAGCCTCGCCTCCTTTTTGGAGCGGCCGACATTTCTTCCATCAGTCACCTCCTGGGGACAAGGGACTTGTTTCCGATCTGTTGTGAAGCCCACCCATGAGCACCCGGGGCCCAAAGCTTCAGGCGTTCCCCCCCTTGCTTAGCTCCCACTCACCTGCCCAATGGGCCCCCAGGTCCAGCAGCAGCAGCAGCAGCAGAGAGAAGGAGGCCTCCATGGCGCTGGGGAACTCAGCCTTGGGTGGCGCCTGGGCCCCCAGCACCTCCCACCCGACCTACCCCTTCCTATAGGAGAGATCACATTCACAGCTTCACTCCCCACAGCACACACACACCACCCCCAGCTCACTGCTTTTCACCCACAAGCATTTCAGAAAAGTCTGTAAAAGGCTCTCCGAAGAGAAAACCACACCACACTTCACACCTGAAAAATTAACGAAAGTTCCCCCTCATCATCTATTATAATATCCCATCATGTTCAACCCCATCTCACACCTCTGTGTGTGTGTGTGTGGTTTTAATGTGTCTGTTTTCTTGGCCCTCTGTTTCTTATCATGACGAAATACATATAACATATAACATAAAATGTACCATCTTTTTAAAAAATATATATATTTTATTGATTTTTCACAGAGAGGAAGGGAGAGAGATAGAGAGCTAGAAACATCGATGAGAGAAATACCTCAACCAGCTGCCTCCTGCACGCCTCTCACCGGGGATGTGCCCGCAACCAAGGTACATGCCCTTGACCGGAATCGAACCTGGGACCCTTTGGTCTGCAGGCCGTTGCTCTATCCACTGAGCCAAACCCGTTTCGGCAAAATGTACCATCTTAACCATTTTTAAATATACAGCTCAGTGGCATTAAGCACATTCATGCTGTTGTGTAGCCACTCAACCCTGCCATCCATCTTCAGTACTTTCTCATCTTCCCAAGCTGACAGTGTGTTCCCATTACACACTACACCTTCCTTCCCCCACCCTCCCAGTCTCTAGCACCCACTTATCTACTTCCTGTCTTTACAGATTTGACTTCTTCTGTGTCTGGCTTATTTCACTGAGCATGTCTTCAAGACTCAGCCATGTGGTAGTATCAGCATGTCTTTCCTTTGTAAGGCTGAATCATATCCCATTGTATGGATGGACCACATCTTGTTTCTCCATTCATCGTTCCATGGACCTTTGGGCCGTTTCCAACCTTTGGTTATTCTGGATATAGATGATAGGAACACTCGTGTGCTATGAGCTTTTGGGGGGTGACCACAAATCTGGGGTTCCTTAGTCAGGCTCAGCTGCATGGAGTGCTGTATTGAGCAGTGATGTCTGTTCTGGGCCAGGCAGGGTGGGGGCAGGTATGAAGGCTCCCAGGGGCTTCAGTCCTCCCTCCCTCCCAGGCTACTCCTCAGCCCTCCCCATCCATGTGATCCAAATTGGCCAATCAGATTGCTCCACTCCCCTTCCTTCGGTTCAGGACAGAATGTTCTAAGCAGGCTCATTGAGGGCCATGGTGTGGGTTTCTTCTACAAGCCTCACCCTCTCCTGGACTTGGAGCTGGAAAGATGTCAGCCTGGAGGTGGCCCCAAAGTGAGAGTTCATCTGGCAATGAGGCTCACACAGAGAAAGCTGAGTTGGGGGATGTTAGTTTCCTCTTGCATCTGTAACAGATTAAGGAACCTCACATTCAGTGCCTAAAACCACACAAATTAATTCTCTTAGTGCTGGAAGCTGGAAGTAGCAAGTGGGCCTCACAGGGCTAAACCCAGGTGTAGGCAGGGCCTCCAGGGAATTGTTTCCTGCCTTTTCCTAGACGGAAAAGGGATTAGGGAATGGACATCGTTGGGGCTGTTATCCAGCTGACCACAGGTCAGGCGAGACAGAGAGAAACATCGATTGCTTGTCTCCTGCACTCGCCATGACCCTGGCCCAGGCTGGGAGGAGCCTGTAACCAAGGTGCCTGCCCTTGACCAGAATGGAACCTGGGACCCTTCAGTCCAAGGCCTATCCACTGAGCCAAAATGTCTAGGGCTCAACTCTAATTATTAACCCCATTCTGCAGCTAGAACACTGAAGTTCTGCATGTCAAAGCCACCTGTCCTTGGCTTGGTCAGTGAAGATGATTCAGAACTGGAGGCCTCAGATATTTTAGTCACATCTGTGTGAGCAAAAGCTCTGTTGGCAATCATGTGGAGTACTGACTATGGAGGAAAAGGGGGACAGATTGTGGTGGTTTTATTTAAAAAAACAAACAAAAACCCTTCATCTGAGGACATGCTTTTATGATTTTAGAGAGAGAGGAAGGGACAGAGAGACAGACACTGATATGAGAAACAAGGATCGGTTGCCTCCAACTGGGGATTGAACTTGAAACCTGGGTAAGTGCCCTGACTGGGAATCAAACTGCGACCTTTTGGTGTCTGGGACAATGCTCCAACTGATCCACACTGGCCAGGGCAGATTGTGGCGGTTTCATTTACTTATTTAAAAATATTTGCCGAGATCCTTTCGGAGTTCATAAGCGTGATGATTGGGTGTTCACGCGGCTGTGTGAGGTGTGCCGCCCATTAACCTTGTTACGCTTTGGCACATGACCCGTCTGACGTGAAAAAAAAAAAAAAAAAAAAAAAAAAAAAAAAAAAAAAATATTTGCCGAGACCGGTTTGGCTCAATGGATAGAGCGTCGGCTTGGGGACTGAAGGGTCCCGGGTTCGATTCCGGTCAAGGGCATGTACCTTGGTTGTGGGCATATCCCTAGTAGGGGGTGTGCAAGAGGCAGCTGATCGATGACTCTCTCTCATCGATGTTTCTAACTCTCTATCTCTCTCCCTTCCTCTGTACAAAATCAATAAAAATATATTTAAAAAAAAATAAAAATATTTTTATTGGTTTCAGAGAGGAAGAGGGGGAAGATAGAAACATCAATGATGAGAGAGAATCAGATTGGCTGCCTCCTGCATACCTCCCCACCCCCACTGGAAATTAAGCTCACAACCCAACCAAGCACGTGTCTATAATGCTCTGACTGGGAATCGAACCATGACCTCTTGGTCCATAGGTTGACACCCAACCACTGAACCATGCCGGCTGGGCTTGTAGTGGTTTTAGACCATGGCCACCGATTCTCAGACATGCTCCCATCAAGAGATAGTCTGTGTCCCCTCTCTTTGAATCTAGGTGGGCTTGTGCCTACTTAGACCAATTGTGTGCAGCTGAAGCGACATGGTTTGACCTCCAAGGCTGCTCAGAAATGACCTTGCTTCTGGGACGGTCATCTTGGAGCCTGTGCCACTATGCTGAGAGGAAGCCCTGGTGATGGATGTGGGGGCATGTGTGGGCACTCAGTCCCTCTGAGCCTGGGCTCCAAGTTGCCCCAGCCCATTCACCCAACCCGAGTTAAGATGCCTCCAGAAGACCCCAGGTCCCATGGTTTAAGTCACCTAAGACGTGGTGAAGAGGGGACAAGCCGCCGGATTCCTGACCCACAGAAGCTGCGTATAAAGTGGCAGTGGCCCTATGTCACTAAGTTCAGATGGCTTGTTCGGCAGCACTGGGTGTGGAGACAGGAAGAGGCCCAGAGGAGAGGTTGAACCAACAAGCTGGAGAGTGGCAGTGGGTGCTGGCATGACTCTAAGACAGAGGCTGACAAAATTTTCTATAAATGGCCAAACTATGTTTTTGGGCCACTCCTCAGTACTGAAGCTGCGGCTCATAACCAGCCAGACCCAGGTAAAGTGGGTGTGGCTAGTTTGGCCAAGGATCCTAGTTTGCTAATACAAGGCTTTCTGGTGCAGGCTAGTGGCTCCTGGGCCCCTGGAGGCCCTGCCCTTTCTTTTTTTTTTCTTTTTTTTTTTAACAGCTGCTTTGTCTCAAGGAAAGCTTATTTATTTTTTATTTTTTATTTAAAAAACCCCCACATTTTATTGATTTTCCAGAGAGAGGAAGGAAGAGGGATAGAGAGCTAGAAATGTCGATGAGAGAGAAACATCAACCAGCTGCCTCCTGCCCAGCCCCTACCGGGGATGTGCCCGCAACCAATGTACATGCCCTTGACCGGAATCGAACCTGGGACCCCTCAGTCCGCAGAACGATGCTCTATCCACTGAGCCAAACCGGTTTCAGCGGCCCTGCCCTTTCACTGCCATTCTGAAGGCTGCCACCAACTTGCTAGGCACACAGGAAAGAGCCCCAGAGAGCAGCTCACACTGTGGGTGACATCTTCCCCCTCACCACCCGCAAGGTGCAGAGGCTGACTCAGCTTCCCCCTCAGGAAATGCCTCTAACTTAAAGAGGAAGTGAAGAGAGGCTGTACATGCCCAGGCCTGAGCAGCAGGAGGTGCCTGCAAGTTAGAAACACAGGCTGCTGTCCTGGCCTCAGTGCCTGTAGAGGGTCGCACATGTGGGGGGTGGGAGGTCTACGAATACTCATGGGTGCTCTGCGGGCTGCCTCACCTGTAATGCAAGCGGGGCTGAGGCTCCTGGACAAGGCCCAGGGAGAGGGATGGGCGTGGTTGCCATGGGGGTGGGAACTCTGCTCAGATCCAGTTGAGAACCCTGGTGAGTGGGTGTTTGTCAAGAGTAAAGCCTCACTGGCCCTGTGCTGCCCTCCAGCTGAGTTTAAGGAAAGCAAGAAATTAAAACGACTGGGTGAAACTTCGCACATTTTAATGTAGGAAAATCATTCATGTTAACAAACGAAATTGTGAGGGCCAACTATAAAAGCTGTATCTGTGGCACCGGGGCTGTGGCGCATTCGTGGAGCAAGCAGACCAGGTGCGTAGGCTCTACGGGGTCCACCACCTGCGAGGGGGTCCTACAGGCTCCAGCCACAGGGACCAGTCAGGCCAGAGCTCCCTCGGGCCTTTGCTCTGATGTCACCATCGGACCCTGAATCCAGCTTGCTCCGGGCTTTTCAGTTACTCAGAAATAAAGTCAGAGGCTTGGGTGACACTGGGTGTAGCATCTGCAGGCAGCAGGGTGGAGCCACCTGAGGGCTGGAGGTTGCAGGTTGTTTTCAGCCTCGGGCTCAGGACCTTGGGCCCACATCCTCAGCCTCAGGAGTGCACCCCAGGTGCTAGGCCTGCCCCCGGGCTCCACACACTTAGGTGCTGCGGGCATCAGGCCCGGCCACTGTACCCTGTAGGGGAGGCCAAGGAAAGGTTGGTCTCTGGGCTTCTCATAAAGTTGTTTTATTTAGATTCCAAACACACCAAAGCCGAGAGAAGAAGTGATGACAAGTTAATCTGTCCACTCATGAGCTGGGAGCCCCAAGTTTCTGGCTCCAGCCAGTGGGGCAGTAGACAGGGCTGGAGTCCGGGCCCCTCAGGCCACCTTTGCCCCGAGGCCCACCAGGTGCCCAGCACTAATGGGGCCCCTCCTCTCTGAAGCAGAGGAAAACCCAGAACAAACATGGGGAAAGGAAAGCGAGACCAAGGAGACAAGGCAAGAGCGGGGCCACCTCCCTGAGGTAGTCTCGGCGTCAGGAGGTGCCCGAGCGCCCACAGAGTCTGGGCCTGGTGAGGTAAAATCTGTAAGTTTATTCGGCGTGGGACATGGTGTCAGGATTCCTCGTTGCCAGAGTCATCCTCATCGTCCCCAAAGCAGCTGTCGGCTTCGGCCTCGGCATCCTCGTAATAGTCATCGTAGAAGAGGTCCGAGCCCTCGTCGGGCGCCGGGGCCTTGGTCTTCACGCAGTACTCAGCCAGCGTGGTGGGCACCTTTACGCCATCCCGCTCCGCGTCCACCTTGGTCCCCAAGACCTGCTTCCTGGGGGAGAGACAGGGAGGGAGCCTGTCAGGATCCACAGCCAGATGCCTTTGGAGGAAAGGAGGTGACCAGGCAGCTTTGTGGAGGGTGACTTGCGCACTAAGCCCCGGGGAGGGGCCTGACCGAGGCCAAGCCCCAGGGGACACTGCAGCCGGGACCAAGGACCCCCGAAGGTTGCTACACGAGGTTTAAAAAGATGCCATCAAACTATACACTTAACCCAGATGACAAAATATCAAAGGGGGGGTTGGTCCTCCAGGGCCACAGCTGAGGAGCCTCAAGGCAGGCAGAGGGGAGGAGAAGTGGACGGTGGGGGCAGCACTCTGGGAGAGAGAGAAAGGATGGGACGGGCTCACCCAGGAAAGAGCGGACTCAGCACTGCACTGCTCACGAGGCAGGAGGCGGGTTAGGGAAATGCTCCTGTTTATAGTGAAAGGGAGGACAAATGAGGTGACAGGGTAGGAACATCCCATGGGACATGCACCTGACCGTCAACACCCTAGCCCCATATCACGTACATCTGAAACTAGAACGTCACAGCACCAATCCACAGATGCTAAAACCTCTAAGCCCACCAGGGGCTCTGTCTGGTCATGCTGACAGAACATGTGGGAATGCAGATGGGGTGAACAAACAGGCAGAAAGCAGCCATCACAGCTACCCACGTGGGCACATGTGAGCTGGCCCACAGGGAGTCTGGAGAGATAAAAATAGTCTGGATTTTATTTCAGCATCATGTGGGAGGTGGCGGGGAAGAACTGGCAAAGGAGTGGGCCACGTGGGCAGGATACTCTGAAGGTGCCACCCAGCACTCACTCTGAGACCCTGAGGGTTGTGCGCAAGTATCAAATGAGGCTGGCAGAGCAGGTGCTTGCCAAGCACCTCCTAGGATGGCTGGTGGGGGACTAGTGTTGCTATGTCCATCACAGTTCTTCATCAGCTCCAGAAACTGGAAACTATGACTGCCCAGCATCAAGGACAGCTTTCCCGGGACCATAGGGGGATGCAGAGAAGGGTGCACCCTGTTGCTCATGGATCCCCTGGGGGCTGTGTGTGTCAAAGTGGTTTAAAAATTATTACATAAACCACTACAGAACAACCAGCAAAAACAGGCCAGACTAAAAGAAGCCAGCAGAATTTAGTCAAGGAAAATAAAACAGAAGTAAATAGAGAAGGGTACCACAGGAGAGGTAGAAGACCTGACACTGCAAGGCCACCAATGCCATGTGTGCATGTACATCTGCTCACAGGTGCACACACACATGGGTAAGACAGGGATTAGTCAAACTGCAGGATGAGGTGAAATGGAGAACTAAGGGCTGTTTAGAGACAAAAAAAAAAAAAAAAAAAAAAAGTTGGTTTCTTAGGAAAGGATAAGCAAGTTATGACAAATTAAGCACATGGACAGCCTCGTAGGTCAGGCACCAGGAAGCTACTAAAGGCTCTTTCCTACTTTCTAGGTAAGAGCAGGTGGTAAGGCTGGATTTGCACTGCAGCAAGGAGATGATCATGTTAACTACCAAATCTCACCAAACTGAGTCCAAAAAGGATGAGTGAGCTCTACTGCACATGACATCTCAACAAACCTGACTAAAAAGTTGGTTACCAAGTGGCCTATACCGCATGGTCCCATTTTTTGGATAAAAATCTGGAAGGATACACCCAGACATTAACCATTAGGTATTAGGATCATGGGTGTTTTTTTTTTCTATTTGCACATAAATGTTTTTGCCTTCTTGGTATTTGTTTTGTAGCTTTATTAACACAAACTGTACCCATGTGTCAGCAGTGAGCTCTGACCCACGTGTGCCTCCTGAAAGCACCCCACAAATGAGATCACAAATGTACCCATCACCTCCAGATGCCCCTATGCCTCTTTTATTTTTATTAATATATTTTCATTGATTTCAGAGAGGAAGGGAGAGATAGAAACATCAATGATGAGAGAGAATCACTGACTGGCTGTCTCCTGCACACCCCCCACTGGGGACTGAGCCGCAACCTGGGACCCTTGTTTGCGGTTGACGCTCTGTTCACTGAACCAAACTGGTTATGGCCCCTCTGCCTCCAAAGCTCATATCCCCGATGGCCACAGATGCACTTCCTAGGATTCCTGTCCAGGAGCATGGTCCCTTGTTTGCCTGGCTTCCTTCATGAAGCTTAACTCCTGGAGATGTGCCCACATGGCTGGTGAACAGGCCACAGCTCGCTCACCTTAACCCTGGATGTACATTTGGGTTGTTGTTTGTTTTTGGCGATTTGATGCTGTTTTGAACATTTGCATAGATGCTGGTGTAGAATGTGCCTGTTTTTCTTGAGTAAGTAAGTCTGGAATGACTGGGCCAAAGGCAGGGTGTGTCTAACTTCTTATTTTTCTAATTAAAAGGTAAATGAGCCCTAGCTGGTTTGGCTCAGTGGATGGAGCGTCAGCCTGTGGACTGAAGGGTCCCAGGTTCGATTCCGGTCAAGGGCACATGGCCGGATTGCAGGCCCAATCCCCAGTAGGGGGTGTGCAGAAGGCATCCAATCAGTGATTCTCTCTCATCATTGATGTTTCTATCTCTCTCCTTCCTCCTTCATCTCTGAAATCAATAAAAATATATTTAAATAAATAAAAAATAAAAGGTAAATGACAAACTGAAAGTATTTGGAAAACACCTAATAAAGGGCTATTTGTCATAAAAGAAGTCAGTAAACTCCATGATAAAAATTGACAATGGACAATGGACACAAGAGCTCACAGAATTTGACAAAACAGAACATGCAAAAGAATGGGTCAGACAGCTCGGACAGAAAGCCAATGGCTTGCACACCCAGGGCCCTGAACAAGGTTCTGTCCCCGATCTGGCATCTGCACTGCTGAGAATCCACTATGTAAAGTTTGGAAGATGTTTGGCTGCTCATTTGTGAGGGGAGAGCGCTGGGAACAACTATGAGAATAAGAGGCTAGTTCTGGCAAATCCTTAATATGTTGCTCTTAGAACCAAGAAAAAAATTGTTTTTTTTAAAAAGGCTATTTTCTAAATATGCTAATACCGTATGTTTTTTCTGCCTTTAAATAATGATTCAAAATTTCAAAATTACAAACTTAAGTGATGTTCACAGCAGCAAATTATTAAGTGCGAAAGATAAACCATCACACAAGGCATAATCTCAGTAACATGAAAAATGACCATATGAAAAACTGATGAGGAACAGAAGCAAGCAGTGGACACGTGTATGCCCAGATGTGGGTCAGGAAGCACCTAAAAGTGGATAGGCAAACCATACCCCATTAGCTGGACACACTTACCACAGGCCCAATGCAACAGGCCCCCGTTTTCAGGTGCTGCCCTAGAGAGAGGGGAGCAGCAAGGGCCAAAGGGAACACGGGGAGGACCTCTGGAGCTCGCTGCTGGACACCTGGGTGTCTATTTCTGTGCTGCACTATTATGCCTGTGTGTGTGATACACCCACATCCCAACACACACACACACACACACACACACACACACACACACACACACACGATGTCTGTTTACTACATTAAATACATGGACCTGTATGAAAGATATTTCAAATTGCAAAACACACCCAATTTTCTTTAAAAACTTTTTTTAAAAAGGAGAAGAAGAAGAAAGAGAGAGAAAAGAAAAGAGAACAGGAGGAAAGAGCCAATGGGTTAGGCTTGAATCCGGTTGGATCTTTCCCACTGTCCAGTGGCCTAGGTTTCCCCATTAGTGACCCCTGCCCTGTGGACAGATGTGAGAAGCCAGGTTGGTCTGGGAGCCCTTCCTTACCGGATGATGTCTGTGTACTCCCGGTCCTTGCCTTTGCTCTCTTTCCACTTCCTGTACATCACAGAGGCGTCCACGTTAGCCGGGGAGAAGGTGTTAGGTTCGTTGAGGAGGGAGATGACGCTCAGGAGGATGGTCCTGGGGAGGGGAGCACAAAGTCAGCAGGTACAGGGTGAGGGTGGTGTTCACGGGATGCATCCTGGAAGCCAGGTCCGACGTTGTAGCAGGAACCACAGGCTGAGCACAGCCCCCTGGCGCCTGCCATTTATTGGAGAACACACGAAGTCCCAGTTTTGCAGCCTCTCAGGCCTGAATGTCACTGGGAGAGCCAACACTAACCCAGAGATCCCCTTGTACCTCCCTATCCCAAAAGCAACATTTGTCTGGACTTCTCACTGGGCCTTCCCTGACTACTCCTGCCCTCTGTTGCATGCCCAACTCCCTGGACAAGACGTGTGTGGGCAGCCAAGCCCAGGAGCACCTTTCTTCCACTTGAAACATGCCTCTCCCATGCCCAAGTGCCCTGGCAAATGGGTCCCTCTGTACTGCCATCTTTTACTATGGCCACCCTGCTACTGGACTAAGGATATGCAGACAAAGAGGCGGGTGCCAGGCCTGCGGACTTGGCTAGGCTCATGGAGGCTGAAGAAGGAGAGGACACCTCAGAGTACGGCAGAGGGAAGATCCTGTGGGCAGAAAGATATGGACAAAGGTTCCCATTTGATGGGGCAGTGAGTGTCAGGAAATGAGGGGAGAGGCCAGCAGAGATGGCCCTGGACCCCCAGGGCCCCAGCACGCTGGCAGAAGACCAGTTTCAACCAATGCCAAAGCACTGCAAGGAGCTGTGACCCCAGGGATGACACAGGTGTGTCTCCCTCTGTCTGGAGCAAAGAGGTCAGAAATGCTGGGGGTGGGGGGACACGTCTACCTGCTGACCAGCCTCACCTGACATTTTGGGTGGGGTTCCACCGCTCCGAGGGCAGCTCACCGCTCTGGGGGTCATCGACTGGGGGGTGGAGAATGGAGATGCACACGTCCCCTGTCTGTGCAGGGACAGGAGGGAGGGATCAGTGCCCATACCAGCACGCAAGGCCACACAGTGCCCCTCCCCTGCCCGCCCCCATTACAGAGGCTGGGAGAGATAAGTGGGAGAGGCAGGCTCACCTCATAGATGTTGGGGTGCCACATCTTGGTCAGGAACCGAAAGGCTGGTGGGGAGTAAGGGTAGTCGATGGGAAACTTGAGGCGTGCCTGGGGGGTGGGCAGAGAGCAGGAGGACTCAACCAGGGCTGGCCCTGTTGTCCCATCAGTGCCGAGTATGGGATCAGGCTGGATAGGACAGGATACCTCTTGAGGACTCCATCCACAAACACACAGACAAGGACATCAGGCTGGGACGGACACCGCCAGTACAGAAGGGCTGCTCAGCTGGGATGGGCACTCGTGAGTGCATGAGTGCACAATTGGTTGCCACAGGCTTTTTGGGGGGGCCCCCTGAGCTGATCCTGGTAACCACCCTGCTACTGGGGAGTGCAGGCAGTTGCCCAAGGAGCAGCTCCAAGCCCATCTGGCCCAGGCCTGTAGGAGGGTCAGGAGGCTGGGCCCCAAGGTGGGCTCACACCAGCAAACAGCTCCACTGAGGGGCATAGGCCTTGGCCTGGGAGCTGTGCACCTCAAGTACAGTGCTGGAGTCCCTGCCTCAGTTCCCAGGTTGTGGGGAGGATTAAAATAGATGTTTTCCCGACACCTCTGTGGGCCCTGTGGGAGGAGATGAGTCAGTGCTGGGTGGACACTCTCTGCCCGCAGGTGTCCATCTTGGGAGATCAGGAAGGCAAACAGGAAGGTCACATGAGAGACGGGAAGGGCCACCTGACTGACTGGGTGACAGAGCTACACAGTTTCAGTAGGTGTGGAAGCTTCGTTTTCCTGCTTAAGCCCCAAATCGCAGGTTTCGGGACATCTGGCCCAGGATGTCCTCAGGCTCTCAGTGGCGAAGAGCAGGGTAGGGGCCACAGAGGAACAGGGCGTCTCTGCTGGGGGGGGGGGGGGGCATTTGGGTCAAGTCCCTCTGCTCTCGGCTGAATGATGAGGTCACTAGCTATGGCAGCAGAACAAGTCTGGAACCTGGGTCCCCCAAGCCCAGTGCCGGGCTTCTAAGCGACAACCTGAGAAGAAATGGTTGAGGCTTCCTCAGTGGAGCAGGGGGACAGGCCTCCCCTGCACCAAGCACCCACCGGGTCTCATCACGTCTGTTTACCTCTGAGCAAACCAAAGCTCTGAGAATGAGGGCGCCTTCCCTAAGGCACACACAGTGGAGGGCGCTCCAGAACCTGGCTTCTCTGACCCGCGTTAGCACCCCACACTGTCCGGGGACCTGTCCTGGGCCAGTGCTTCCGAGGCTCATCAAGGAGAATTAGGGGCAGTTGGGTTAGGCCTGGGAAAGGTGCTGGAGGAAGTGGTTGCGAAGTGAAGGTGAGCCACAGGCATTTCCACATTTCCTGGGGAAGAGGGTTTTCCCCCCACTCCCTACCTGACCACAAGCAGACCTGAATGGGAGGACTGGGTGGGTGGCAGAACCACTCTGAACTCCATACTGGCTTCCTTGAGGCTAGACCCTGTGGCAGATATGATCAAAGTCTGGCAGGCTCCCTCCACAGTCCATTCTTTTCTAGGAAAACTAGATCATCTCCAGAAAAACCTGGGAGGCTCTACTCACAACCACTTAGTATGCCATAGCTAGACACCACATCCTCTACGCAACCTTACTTAGTCCCGGCCTGGCTTCATCTAAGGGTGGGGTCCTGGTTCTGAAGGAGCCCTTATCCTCACAGCCTGCGGCTCTCCCGAGCAGACAAAAGAGGCTGAGGGGGCTGGGTGAACCTTTCAGTAATAGGCCCCAAATCTGTTCCCTGCATGGGGAAGTCTGACTCCAGATTCAGAACTCAGACCAGGGCTGTTCACACTCCTCCTCCCTCTCCACCCCAGCAGGCCAGGCGGCTCCCTCACAGACAACTGAGCAGGTGAGACCAAAACATTAGTCAAAAGTGCAAACAGAGACATCTGTCTGGGCAGCACTGCCTCTCCCTCCCCACCCCCCAGCCTGGCCTAGCTGGTTTCTGCTCCCCACCCAGGCCTCCCAGCCAGGCAAAACCTGGCAGGTCTTAGCCATGCTCTTGGCAGGCTGTGATGGGGTGTGTTCCTATGCTTAATGCTCGTTTCTCACCTCTCCCACAGGGAGACCCCTCTGCCTCAAAAAGTCAAGTGCTGCTACCTGAAAGGGGTCCTTCCAAGGCCCCATCTGGGCTAAGATCATGAGGATGAGAAAGCTGCCTGGGTTTTGGCCCTAGTCCTTTGTCACCCCAGTCCCAGGGAAAGCACTAACTTCCCTTTACTGATCCCAACAACAAAAGGGAAATGCTTGGAATTAGACCACAGAATAAAAGGCCCAGAGTGTGAGCTTCTGGCCATCTGCTTAGGGGAACCTGAGAAAGGCCAGCTGGGGTGAGAGAGGAGCTGGAGCTTCGGAGGCTAGGGTCCTGGAGGCCACGGGGGCTCCTCTGGAGTGTGGCTCCGGGGGACAGGGTGGATAGGAGTGACACCTCCGCCTCAACCTTCCCCAGAGAACAGGTTTGTATAGCTCCGGATAAAGCTGAGAGGGCTTGGCCCGTTGCTATCGGCAAAGGGTGGCTGCTTTCCAAGCAGGTCCTGGCTGCCAAGGTCCCATCCAGGCCTTTGTTAGAATCTGAGCAAGTGGCGGAGCCAGACCCCTACCCCCACGCCGCTGGTCACCCTCCCTCTCTTCTTCCCTCTCCGAGGCCGGTGCTCCCCAACAATAGTGTTTGCGGTTCTGGGGGGGCCTTTGTCTCTTCTGGGCAGGGGGCTGGGAAAGCAGCAGCAGGATGGGCCAGCTAGGGCGGGGTCGGAGGAAGGGGGCACCAGGGGTTGAGACCTCCCAGGAGCGGGGTAAACAAGAACCCGCCCAAACAAAACAACGTTCATGCCTCCACTCTGGGGGAGTCTGAGTTTAAGTTCTCGGGGATTCCTGGGGCCTGAGAAGGAGGGACTGAGTAACCCCGAGTGACAGCGGAGAGCCTGGGTACAGGGAGAGGGGGGATCGCCAAGCGAGAAGGGTAGCGGCATCCGAATGGGCTGCGGACTCACCTTAAAGTAGCCGCCCTCGTAGTAGGTGTTGGGGGGCCCGAAAATGGCCACCTCCCAGTTGTACAGGTCGCCCTCGTCCACTAGGGTCACCCGGAAGCCCTCCACCGGCTCCTCCTGCAGCCCCTTGAGCTCGAGCAACAGCGCCTTCTGTGAGCTGGGTACCAGCGGCCGGGCCATGGCGGCGGCGGAGGAGGAGCCCGGGAGCGGGGGCGCGATGGGTGGCGGGGCCGCCGCGGGGGCGCGGGCCGGGCCGGGCCGCGCGCCGGCCGGGGGGGCGCCGCCGGGGCCGCCTCCGCCTTCCTCCTCTACGCCGCCGCCGCCGCCGCCGCCCGGGGCCCCCGAGCGCTCCACTCGCTCTGGCGCCGCCGCCTGCCCGGCGCTGCCTTCGGCCCGGCCCGCGCGCCCCGCCCCGCGCTGCGCCTGCGCGCCGCCCCCGGGCTCCGACTGCGCCTGCGTGCCGCGGCCCGGCCCGGACGACACCTGCGTTCGCCCGCGGGGCGCGCCGGGAAGTGGAGTCCCCCTCCCTCGGGCCACCGGGCTCGCGCCCAGCGCGACAGCCGGGAGGGAGGGGGCCGAACGCCCGAGGGCCTTGGTGCTGCCGGCCTGTGGGAGGCTGCTGCAGCCCCCCAGCTCGGACGAGCACCCCGACGCCTGTCCACCGCGAGGAGGGCAGGCCTGGGCTGAGCCGCCGCGGCCCGCACGCCGGGCTTTTGGGGTCTTTTTTTGTGACGTCCCCGGCGCGGGGCGGGGCCGGGGCGGGGAATTGGGAGCCGGGGCGGGGAATTGGGAACTGGGCCGGGCCGGGCCGGGTCCCCGCGAGGCTGAGTGTCCCGGTCGTGACCCTACCGTCCTGATTCTATTTTGCTGTAAGTGAGGGGAACTGGCTGATTCCCTTCCCGGATCGCACGGGGCGACCGGAAGGGGCGCCGGACCGATGGGGAGGCGGAGGACAGGTGAGAGCCCACGCTGGAGCTCACGCACCCGGTCCTCGGCGGGCTGTGCCTCAGGTTCTCGTCGGTGGGGTTGACGATTGGGCCCTCCGGGCAGATGCGAAGGCCCCCGCGACCGCGAGGGAGGTGAGGAAGACTGAGCAGAACTTTAGTCACCATTTGGATCCACCGAGTGGGATCAGAAGAGATGGAGAAACGGGAATCAATCAGTCCACTCCTCCTTCAGCATTCATTTGGCACCCATCCTGGAGGAATCCCCAGATTGATTGATCCCTAATCCTGGCTGGGCCCTCCTTCAGGCTGACCTTTGACTCCACCCAAATCCTGACCCAGGGCTTCACCCTGACCTGCTGGAGCTCTGATCTGGCTGAGTCCCTGGACCCAGGACACCTGGTCAGGAGAGTGAGGTGTGGTGCCCTGGTCTCCATTCCTCCACCTCCACAGGATGACAGCTCCCTGTGAGGGTGACCAACTTGTTGTTGTGGCCCAGGCTTCCTGCTGTGCCTGTGGCCTTCCCTGCAGGTGTCTTGGACAGCTAACACCTGCAACAACTGCAGGCTGTGCCAAAGTTACACCCTCCCCCAGCTGCCCCAGGACCTGACCCCTTGCCCTGCCCCGCTGACAGGCAGGTAAAGGGAAAGAAAACGTCAACAGTGGGGAAGGACAGAAGAGCCAGAGCAGCAGCTCAAATGGCTGCTCAGAGCTGGGCCTTGGCTTTCTCAACCATAAAGCTCTAGGCTTTGCCTGTGCCCTGCACCCTGGGGATCTGGATCGGGCCCCCTCATCTGTCAAATGGGCTGTTGCCTTTGCTGAATGGTCCAGGTGTTACCCTCATTGTCTGCCCATAAAACCAATGTCATAGTGTTGGCAGCTGGTCAATAAATAGTTATTAATCAATTTTTCAGAGAGGTTTCCCAAAGTTCCTCCCTAAGTACTGGGAAGTGCTGCTAATGTAAAGGAAGTGCTGGGCTCCTGCCCCCTGCCCTGGGTTGGCCCCACACGGCGCCTGGTCCCTCAGGAAAGCCTGCTCAAGCTCTGAAACTGCAGCGATGGATGGCTAGAGTTTCTGCCTCCCGTTTTCTGACCACAGCACCTGATTTTCCGGTGGGGTTTCCTGGTCTGTCAAATGTTCTTTCCTCTTAGGGCTGTGACATTGCAGGTCTCGAACATGTTAGCTGTGCTGTCATCATTGCCGGTAGCATCTGCTGTGAACTCTTCCTCTGATAGCTGGGAGAACGGAGGCCCAGGGAGAACTGCTTGGGTGGGGCGTGTGTAGAGCAGGGCTGGGGACTGGGTCATCTTCCAGAGCATTGGTCATGCAGGGCCTCAGCCCTGAGGCAGGGCACCTCACTGAATACCCGTTGCCCTCTGCTCCCATAAAGCGGCGTCCAGGGGCACCCTGGCATTTCCAGGTGGCAAATATGGCTTCCGGGCAGTGGTGGGCCTGCTGGGTGGAGAAACATTTCTGTGGCACAGGGCTGGAGGGTGGGGAGCAACACATGTCAGGTCTGCTTTGGATACAGATTTTATTACTGTTGCCGAGGAGAGGGGCCTTTACAGGTATGTGGGGAGGGGTGTCCACCTCAGGTACCCTTGGCCGCCCCCTGAAGGGGGCTAGAATATCATTCCAGGGCCGAAGCTGGCTGAGGGCTCTCCGCACCCCCCCTGCATGCAGAAACCCCAGTCCTGGTCCCATAGCCATGTTCTTCTGCCCAGGAGCAGGCGAGCCAGGCCTCAGAGGGTCCCCAGCTGTCAGGGTGGAGGAGGCAGGTGAGGAGGGGCTCAGCCCACTGGCTTGACTTTGGCGATAAAGAGGGCAGCAGCCTTCTCCAGGAACTCCTCTCGGGTCATGGGGGAGCTGGGCCGCCGAGCCACCAGAGCTCGGTCCATGGCCAGCGCCAGGCTGTCAGGCCCCAGGCGTGAGCCCGCCTCCAGGTAGTGGGTGGGAGCAGAGGCGCCGCTGCTGGCCTGCAGGACCCCCTCCAGGGTGTCCAGCACTGCCTGGCTCATGCGGCGGTCAGCAACGGCCAGCATGGGGTCCTCCAGCAGCTGGTAGAGGGCGCCAGCCCGCCCCACGAACTCCAGCAGCACGAAGCAGGTGAGCATGCCGGTGCGGAAGACGTCCAGCGGCACAGCCTCGTGGTCCCGGCACTGGATCTTGCGCAGCAAGGGGGCTACAACCTCCTCGGGGGCCTCCCCGTCTCGGCAGATGCGCTTGAGCAGTTCGCTGTAGGTGCGCCCATCGAGCCCCGGCTTCTTCTTGCGCCCACTGGCGCTCAGGCACTCATAGGCCACACCAACATTGTTGTTGAAGGCCGTCCTGCAGGCGGACAGGGGTGTTGGGCCAGCCCAGCAAAGCCCTCCACCCCCACGCCCACCAGCCTAGTCCAGCTCCTGTGCCCCTTGTTCCTCCTCCAGCAGGCCAGGCGTTTGCACAGGCTGTGACCTCCCCTGGGACGCCCTTCCCACAGCTCTCCCCAGGGCAACCCAAGTCGCCGTTCTGGTGGGGACCTTCCCTCCTTAATCTTTTCCTCCTCTTTTTGTTAATAATTACTACCACCGGACTCACTATATGGTGTCCTTATGAGTTTGTTTTTCCAACCTGAATGTCCAGGAGCCCACACCAGGTTTTATCTGTCAGTCACTGTGCAAAACCAGTGCCTGGCCCACGGCAGGTGCTCAATAAAGGTCTGCTAAGTCAGCTGACTAGCATCTGCCCCTCGGGACTCTCCAACTGCCCTTCTAAGGATGACACTTGCACTCACAGGGTGGCCATTCTTGGCCCAAACACTGTGCCTATCTCATTCCATTCCCCTAGTCCCACTGGCCAAGAGTCGGCAAACTACAGCCATGGGTCAAACCCAGCCCACTGCCTGTTTTTGTAAATAAAATTTTATTGGCACACAGCTTCGTTAACCCAGTGACATGTTGCTTATGGGAGCTTGCTTTCTTGCTGCAATGGCTGAGTCCAACGTTCACAACAGAAATCAGCCTGCAAAGCTGGGAGAGCTTGCCACCTTTACAGAAGTCTGTCAACCCTGCTCTCAGCTGTAAGGTGGGGGCTATGCGGGGGGTATGGTTCCTTGCCCCTTGAGCAGCCTGAGGTCCTACTATGTGCCCTGGCCATATGTGTTGTGAACTTCGTGAGCAAAGTAGGGCAGCACTGGTTAAGTGTGGGCTGTAGGGTGAGCCTGGAGCCCACACACTTAACCAGTTAGTGTACAGTGGGTGCCCAGTGTCTCACTCTCCTCATCACATCTACAGCCCAGTACCTGGCCTGTGGCCCAGGGAAGGATGGCTGGTGGCCTTTTACTGGTTTCACAGTCACAGCTGGGAAGTGAAGTTCAAGGCAGGCTGATGGTGGGCCAAGGATCCCAGGGAGGAAGGGCCTGACCTTAGGCCTTAATATTCATCCTTTCTGGGAGCTCAGCTCCATGGCTCACTGCAGCTCCACTCTTTCTTCCAACCCTCAAGGATGCCTTTCAAACTGATAAGAACAGATACTGCACTTGATCTTAGCCAAAAGACTGAGAAGCAATTCCAAGGATATGTTTTAGAAAGGAAGGGAGGGAGGAAGATCGGGAGGGAGGGAAGGGGAGAAACATTGGTCGCCTCTGGTAGGTGCCCTGACCGGGGAACAAAACCTAGGTATGTGCCCTGACCAGGAATCGAACTCACATCCTTTTGGTGTATGGGACCATGAGCCACCTGCCCAGGGCTGCAGCACCACTCTGATCTCATGGGTGACCTGGCACATCACCTCACCTTTCTATGGGTTAGTGTATAGTGGGTGCCCAGTAAGTGCTGACCAACATATAGGAGATGTCCAGTAAACTTATATTCTGGTCGCCTCTGCTGCCCAGCACGATGCTTATAAATAGCTGTGCTGACCTGATGAGCTATGTAGGTCAAAACCCCATTACACAGGAAACTGGCACAGAGGTGAGGGCAGTAGCTTGGGAGGTCTCTCTCCCAGCTGGGACCCGTCCGCACCCATCTGACCATCAACTCCTCTGCCTTCCCATTTATTGGGCCCTTTGAAGTGACTAAGACAATCCAGGGAAGCAGAAGGGGTGCCAAATGCAGCTTCATGTTCAACAAACATTTGTTTCCATGATTACGACTGTTAGCACATAATAACCCTGTGTAGGAGCTTTTATTAGCTCCTTCCCCGGAAGAAGGAAGTGGGGGAATCTGGTGTAACTGTGGCGGCCATGAGTGCCTGTATCAGTTACCCATTGCTACATGACACACTTGGTGTCCTAAAATGGCAACAACAGTTATGACGAGGTTTCTGTATGGCAGGAACTCGGGAGAGGCTTAGTGGGAGGATTCTGGCCTGTTCCCTTATAAGGTCGAGGTCAGGATGTCAGCTGTGGCCATGGTCCTCTGAAGCTGGACAGTGGAGGTGTTTCACATGCTGGCTCAGACAGGAGGCCTTGGGTCCCGGCCCTGGGTGTCCCCATGGAGTGACGAGCACCTCCACACATGGAGTGTGTGCTCCCACACACTCTATGTGTCCATGTAGATGTGGAAGACGGGTGCATGCAGGTGTGAATACCAAGAGGTGAGGGCCTCCAGGGGCATCTGGAAGGCTGGAAAGCTCTGTGCTGTCCAACCCTCCACCCTGTGACTGACTTGCTTTGGTGACTGAAATGTGAATGTGAGCCAGGCGAGGGCCACGTTTAATGGAAATTTTCAGAGCCGTCACATCATTCTCCATGGTCGCCTGCCACGGTGTAAGCTCACAGCAGCCCGGCGGTGTGAGGACACAAACCCTAGTTGTGTTGAGGCCACTGAGGTTTCAGGGCCCTGAAGCTCCCTCCCAGGAATCTGGGGGGCAAACATCTAGGTGCTTGTAGGTTCCCCGGGTGTCCCTGGACCCAGCTCAGACCTGCATGCAAGTCCTAGCCGCTGCCTCTCACTTTCCTCATGTGGAGAACGAGGGTTGTAATCTGAGCCCCTGGAGGCTTGTGAGGACAGAGGGTAGATCTTATGCCAGCGTTCCAGATTGTGCCAGCACTTGGGAGGGGCCCCATGTGTGCTTGTCATTTGCTATAAACCTGGGCTGCAATTCAGCTGGGCTGTCCAGAAGCTGTTTATCTTAGGCTCCTGGCCTCGTGGGGCAGGAAGGCATGCAAAGGGGTAATTACAGCCCAGTGAGATCAGAGCTATGACGAGGATTGGGCAAGAAGCCCAGAGGAAGGCAACAACCAACCTCTAGGCCGAGGCCTCATAACAGCCCCTCTGGGGGGCTCCCCAGGTGGTTCCCAATCATGAGGGGCAACCATGCCATCTGGGGGGTGGGCAAGAAGGCAGCCAGCACCAAAACCGGTTTGGCTCAGTGGATAGAGCGTTGGCCTGCGGACTGAAGGGTCCCGGGTTCGATTCCGGTCAAGGGCATGTACCTTGGTTGTGGGCACCCCCCAGTAGGGGGTGAGTAGGAGGCAGCTGATGGATGGTTCTCTTCCATCAATGTTTTTGACTCTCTCTTCCTCTCTGTAAAAAATCAATAAAATATATTTTAAAAAAGAAAAAGAGCCGAAACCGGTTTGGCTCAGTGGTAGAGCGTCGGTCTGCGGACTGAGGGGTCCCAGGTTCGATTCCGGTCAAGGGCATGTACCTTGGTTGTGGGCACATCCCCGGTGGGGGGTGTGCAAGAGGCAGCTGGTCGATGTTTCTCTCTCATCGACGTTTCTAGCTCTCTATCCCTCTCTCTTCCTCTCTGTAAAAAAATCAATAAAAAAAAAAAATATATATATATATATATATATATATATATATATTTAAAATAAAAAAAAAAAAAAAAAAAAAAAAAAAAAAAAAGAAAAAGAAGGCAGCCAGCTCTGAACTTGTCGGCCTGGGTTCCATCTTGGCTCCACCATGGAACTCTGGGCCTGTTTCCCTGTCTGTGAATTGGAACTGGGCACTTACTGAGGGCTCCATTCCTGTCAGCAATTTGTGAAATATGTGAGCATTTGTTAAAATAAAAAAAGAACATATTTACGGGGTGTCTCATAAAGTCATAGAAACTTCATTTTAGACCAGGGGTTCTTAATAGGGGTAATTGTGCCCCAAGGGCTCATGGGTAATATCTGGGGACATTTGTAGTTATTGTCACACTGAGTTGGGGCTAGGAATGATGCCCAGCACTCCACAGTACCCAAGACAGCCCTCAGAGGTGGCGTGAGCTCAGGAGCCTTAGCCTGGACCTGTTGGTGCCTGGCATTCCTGCAGTTACTATTAGCAACATGATGGCTTAGAAGTCTTTGGAGAGCTACACTGCCTGGGTCTGACTCTGGCTTTGTCCCCTCATAGCCATGCAGCCCTCACAAATCCAGATGAAACCCAGGGTCCTGAGGCCAGCAGGGGGGTGATGGGATGCCATCACCAGTCCGGCAGGCCAGCAATTCTGACTTCTCGAGACACCTGCACACCCTCTTTTGTTAATCAGCTTAACAATAACCCACAACCTTCGGACCAACTTACACCCTCTTTTGTGACGACGTGCTCAAGAGCAGCCTCATGACAGCCTGGTCAGCCTTGCAGCATCAGGTAAAGTTGCCTAACCTTGGAGCACCTGTCTCCCACACCTGGGACTTCCTGGTCACAATTCTACTCCTGACCTGACAGGCGTGATAAAGGGCCCCTGCTCACTGCTCTCCCTGTGCCCTTGCTGCTCCCAACAACAACAGCCCAATACCTTTTGTGTCCCCACAAAATGTACATCCATCTAGAACCTAGGAGTGTGACCTTATTTGGAACTAGGGTATTTGTAATTAGTTCAGGATCTGGAGATAGGGTGAGATGGCTCCCAGTCCAATGCCAAATGTTCTTAGGAGAGGACAGAGAGACATAGAGGAGATGGTAGCTAAGTACAAGACAACGGCTGAAGTGATGCTTCCACAAGTCCCGGGACATCCAGGAACTAGGAGGCAGGAAAGACCCTCCCCCAGAACCTCCAGAGGGAGCTCAGCCCTGCAACACCTTGATTTCAGACTTCTGGCCTCCAGGACTGTGGGAGAATATATTTCTGTTATTTTAAGCCACCAAGTTTGTGGTAATCTGTTATAGCAGCCAGAGGGAACTAATACATTTTCTTGTTGACCCTAAATCCAACAGATGCTTCTCAGCCTTCATTTACTGGACCATTGGACACAGGGCTACTGACCACATGGTGTTTTTGTATGAATTAGGAAAGAACTCTACAAAAAGCCTCATAAATATCCCTGTCTGTGATGTCTACGGGGAGAGTGGCTTGTGCATTGCTTCACCTGAACAACTGCACATGTGGCCCTGCCACTGACCACTTTCCCTCCTTGGAAGATGTCCTTGGATGCCACTCTCTTCTGGTTCCCACCTTCACAACTGGTCTGCCTTCACATACTTTTTGTGGGTTCTCTGAGGCTGGGGCTCCTCAAAGTTGGAGCCTGGGCTCTTCCCAGCTCTTCTGAGGCCTTCACCTTTCCTCCCAGTTGACAACCTCCTGTCCCATGTGCACATCTCAGTTTCAGACCTACTTGTCCACTTTCCTGCTGCGAGGTTCTCCCAGCTCCCTGACTCTGGGAACTTCCCCCAAACCAGTAACCTTCCAGTAGATACCTGGGACTGCCCTACACCCCCCCCCCCCCCCCCCCCGCCACCTTCCACCCTGGCCCCAGCAAATCCATCAGCTCGGCCTTCAGAGCGTGTCCAGAGCCCATGTATGTCCCACCTGCTCCTCTTCCCAGGTCCCTATCTCAGGGGTGGCCCCAGCACCCAGATACCCTGCTGCTCTCTTGTCTGGCTGTCATCTTGCATACCCTGCATTCTCTTTCCTCCTGTGGGAGAATATATTTCTGTTGTTTTAAGCCACCAAGTTTGTGGTAATTTGTGGTGGAGATGGGACTGCTCTGCTCAGATGCCTGCTTTCCACACCACTCCCACAGGAGCTCCCAGCACCTCTGTACTTTCCTTCATGTGTTTTGCACGAAGTGTGGGACTCTTTCTGGAGGTCTGCCCAGAAGCACCTGGGAATACCTTGAGAATCAAGCTGAAATGCTCCCTTGGTTGGCTTCTTCCTTCCTGAGGTCTCCTGGGAGCACACTCTTATAAGATCACCCCCATATGAATGCTTGCCTCAGGCTCTGCTGCTGGAGATGCCCCTAGCCAAAACCCAGTCCACCCACATCCAGTCAGTGACTTTGTCCGGTTGATGATGCTTCTCCTCAATCCACCTGATGCAGACCATGCATTCAATTTCAACACATATTCCTCAACCACCTTCCTTGGGCTTACAACTGTGGATAAGCAGGGACTTGAGGGGAGTGGGAAGGTGCCACCCCCTCTATCCTACCATGCTTCAGCTGGGAGAAGGAAGTGTGTCCCACCGTGCACCTGTACTGCCTCCAGGCAGGTGCATCTGAGGCACCACCTTTCTGTGTGTCACTCAGGGCTCTTCCTGGACACCCTCCTATATGCTGGGAGCCTCCCTTTAGGATAGGGCCATTGGGTGACTAGGTTGCTTTCTGTCTCCACAGCCCAACCCTATAAAATATTCCTTTTCTGGCTCAATGGACAGAATTTCTATGCTCATAAGGAGCTAGCTAGGAGGGACCTGGCTCAGAGAATTGCTCTGTGACCTTGGGCAAAGTCCTCTCTGGGCTCCATATCTTAAAAAAGTTGGGTGGGCTGCAAGGGGGACTCATTACCTACAAAAAGGCATCACAAAAAGTTGAAGCTTGCGCATAGCACGCAGGTCACTGCCAGAATACCCTGGGGACCTCTAACCCATCACAGTCTGGGTGGATCTAGCGTCAGGTAGGCACTGTAGACTATAGTTCCCAGCATGCCACGCATTCAAGCACCGGGACCCGGGGCGAAGAGCCGCGCGGAGCATGCTGGGAATTGAAGTCCGACCCCTCCACACCCCCGCCCAGGCCCGACCCAGTCCCGCACCTCTGGGAGTGGTGAGCCAGGCGAAGGTGCCACAGCGCGCGGCCCAGGCGCTGCTGCTGAAGCAGGAGCTGGCCCGGGGGCTCCCCGGCGCCGCTGTTTGCAGGCGTACTGAGGCCCATGTTCTCGAAGTAGTGCGCCAGAAAGGAGATCGGTTCCTCGGGCCGGGCCTCCAGCACCTTCAACAGGGCTGCGCGCAGCATTTTTGTCACGCCGAGCTGCTGCAGGAAGTCCTCCTCGCTCTCGGTCGTTGCTGCCGCCCCGGACACCGAGGGCCGGCTGCTGTCTATGAAATTGGCCGCCGGGGCCACGGCCAACCGCCGCTTCTCCACTGCCGCCATCTTCGCTCAGGGCAACGGGACCGGAAGTGCCGTCATATGCCACAGCGCGCTGGCGCCTCTTGGCGGCCATCTTGGTTAAGGGCAGAGGACGCCGGGTGACTCTTGGAAAAATTGGGAACTCAGTAATGCAAGCCACCCTTTCCGTTAGGTTCTAATGGGCATTCTCCGCTCCAGTGTCCTCTTTACGTGTACTGGTTGCCTTTTTTGGCGTAGGCCCTTAACTTTGCCAGACTGAAAAATGACTCCCAAGGAAGGGCTTGGTGCCTGACGGAAAGCCGGGTTGCTGGCGGACTCGGTAGTGGGCGAGTCCTTCCTGGCACGGTTCCTTAGCAACCAGTCTCCTTGGTGACCGGAGCAGCTGGCAGCGCGAGAGAGGGGATTGTTGCACCCGGAGTCAATGATGGAGCGCCGCCCTGCCCCATTTTTAATTTTTTGTCTTTGTGTCTTTGCCCCCCAGCCTGGCCTTCAACCCAACCCAGTCTTGGTCTGAGCTTATAGTTCACCGCTTGGGGGACCCTCGTCCCAACCACCCCCAGGCTGCGGTCTGCTCGGTTCCCACGGCCCCTAGACCCCTGTGCGTGTTTGAGGAGTCAGTAGCCCCCAGTCCCTTATCCCAGGTCACACCCCCATCCTAGGCTGTCTCCTCTAGGGCTTTCTACATCCCCATAGTTCCCCGGGGCTCACAGGTATCCGCTGATGGTGTATCTTCTGTTTCTGCTCTGTCTCCTCCCTAGCTCCCTTAACAAGCCATCTCTTCTGTGTCTTTTCCCACCCTGTCTCCCCATCCCCCACCGAATACATTCTCCATTTCTTTTGATGACCCCCAGTTATTCTTGAGTTCCAGGTTCCCAGTATCCAGGGAAAGGCACAGTATTTGTATTCTCCCTCCCCAGGCCAAGTGCACACTCCTCCAGCCCCAGGCTAGTGGGCCTGGGGCGTCTGTCTGTCCTGTTTCTCTGGGGAGTCGCCCAGGGCAGAGAAGTCCAGGGTCCTCCTACCACAACAGAAGCCACTGGGGTCAGACAGCATGCTCTTTATTCTCCCAGTTGGGGGCAGGGGCAGGGGCAGGTCCCCAGGGGTCCCACAGCGGGGAACCTGGCCAGCTGAGAAGCCTAAATGTTCTGGCCATCAGGGCAAAGTACCCTCTGTCAGCCCTCATGCTGTCCAGAGCCCTGCAATCGTCCTCTAGTCACAACTGAGTTGAAGGAAGGCAGGCCACTTCGGCGGTGCTGGTGGGCTCTGTGGTCACCTGGTGGGCTGGCGGCATCTCCACAGGCGACGGGTGAGGAACGCCAGGAGGAGCAGCCCCAGCACCAAGCTGCCCATCCACAGGGCTGCGGACATTGGTGGGGAGCCTGGGGAGAGAAGCATCGAGAGCCTCAACACCTCTTTGCAGTTTGTGGGGATAAGCCCAGCAGAACCTGCCAAGGGCTTCCAAATTTACCACATTCCCTAAGACTTAAGAAGGATGTAATGACTTAGAACAGCCATTTTTAACCTTTTTCATCCCATGACACACATAAATTATTGAAATCCTGTGGCACATTAAAACATATTTTTTGCCGATATGACATAAAAACAGGTGTAATTTTTATTCATTCAAACGGGACGGCTATTGTTTTGTTGGCCGTTGTCATTTTTAAATGGACAATATAAGGGAAAGGAGTTCGGCGCCCCTGACTAAATAGGTATTGCATGTTTTAAAAATTCTTATGCACGTTGATTGAAAATCACTGGCTTAATCCAGGCCCAGAGCAGCCAGGCCAGAAGCGGCTAGGCCCGGAGCAGCAGCAGCCAGGCCCAGAGCAGCTGGGTGTGGAGCAGTCCGGAGCAACAGTGGCCAGGCCCGGAGCAACCGGGCCCGGAACAGCTCGCTCCTCACCTGCCCATGCTCTAGGGCTGCCTCTCAGACATGGCTGGAAACTTTTCGGGGAACTTGAGGGTCTGCTGAATCAAATGATGAAGGCTTAAAAAAAAAAAAAATCACTGGCTTAGAATGTCTTTTGAAATGTCTAAAAACCACTGGCATATTCAAAGGACTTTGGAGTGAATCTTAAAAAAAATTTTTTTTTCATTGATTTTAGAGAGGAAGAAGGAGATGGAAACATCAATGAGAGAGAATCATTGATCTGCTGCCTCCTGCACACCCCCCACTGGGGATCAAGCCGCAACTCGAGCATGTGCCCTGACTGGAATCGAACCTGGGACCCTCCAGTCCACAGGCTGACGCTCTATGCATCGAGCCACACCAGCCAGGGCTGGAATGAATCTTTTGAAAGGTATGTAGGACCTTAGAGTTAGAAGTGGGCTGTCCACGGAGGCAGCCACTCACATGTCTATACTTGAAATGTGGCTTGTTAGGGTAGAGAAGTGCCTGCTGTCAGTGTAACATACACATTGTAAGAACATAAAATACCCACTCATACTTTTTTACATATTACACATTGAAGTGATATTTGAGTTATATTGGGTTCAATAAAATATATTATCTAGCCCGGCCAATGTGCTCACTGGTTGAATGTCAACCTATGCACCAAGAGTTTGCTGGTTTGGCCCTAACTGGTTTGGCTCAGTGGGTAGAACTTCGGTCTGTGGACTGAAGGGTCCCAGGTTCTATTCCAGTCAAGGGCATATACCTTGGTTACAGGCACATCCCCAGTAGGGGGTATGCAGGAGGCAGCTGATTGATGTTTCTAACTATCCCTCTCCCTCTCTGCAAAAAAATTAAAAAATATATTTTAAAAAAGAATTTGCTTGTTTGATTCCTGGTCAGGGCACATGTCTGGATTTTGGGCTTGATCCTCAGGGGGGCGTGTGCAGGAGGCAGCCAATTGATGTTAATGTTTCTCTATCATTGATGTTTCTATTTTTCCCTTTTCCTTCCTCTCTAAAATAAATAAAAACATTTTAAAAAATACATTATCTAACCTTTTTTTCTGAATATGGCTACTAAAAAATTTGAAATGACCTAACTGGCTGTATTCTATTTTTATTCCACAGGCTGCTGTAGTCTATACAGTTCAGTTTACAGACTGCTGTGGCTGTGAAATCTATGTATTGATAGTTCCTTAAATGTAATCCTTGCCATGCCAGGCAACTGTGAACCCATTGGACAGTGGGGGAAACAGACTGGGCAGGGCACCTCCTCATCTAAGGCCTGTATGCCAGCCTTCCTCCCTCCCAGGCTCCCCCAGGGCCCGCCCCACCCCGCCACACTCACAGACTTCCGGGAGCAGGTACAGACGGGCTGTGTGGCCCCCTGGGTCCAGGCGACACTGGAACCAGCCCTCAGGGTTGCATCCAGCCCACAGCACGGTCAGCCAAGCCTGGGCCCCGTCCTCCTTCCTCTGGTAAGCTGCCAGACCACCTGGCGCCCGGGTCCAACGTACAGCTACGCCAGGGCCGCAGGCTGCTTCGCACAGCAGCTCCAGACCCCCTGGTATTGGCGACTGGTGGATCTCAGGGTGGCAGGGCCGGGTGGAGCTGTTCCCAGCCTCGGGGCCAGGACTCCGGGGGCTGTGGGTGGAGGTCTGCTCCAGGGTGGCCTCCAGGGAGGTTGTGACCGGGGTCTTCGGGGAGGTCAGGACTCCCGAGGTGGTGGGTGGAGTTCTGCTCCAGGAAGGCGTCCAGGGAGGTTGTGGCCGGACTGGAAAAGAGGGCAGCGTTTTTCTTCCTGTCACCTCAGTTGCTTTCTTGCCTCAGTCTCTCTGTCTGGACCATGGGGTTGGGTCAAAACTGCTTCAACTCCCACCTTGGGCCACTTGGTGAATTGCAATGTATGTGAGTGGGTGGGAGTGGGGTTGGTATGTCGTGGCCCTCCCCACCCTCAGGGAACTTCTGAACCTCCGGATCTCACTTTCCTCACGTAAAGGAGATGAGAACCCACCACCGAGACCCACACATGCGCCCGGAGCGTAGGGTCAGTGAGCACGAGCATTGGATTTTATTATTATGGGACTAGGAGGTGGAGGGAGGGAGGGTGCATCTGACACAAACTGAGCACCTGCTGTGTGCCAGGGCCCGTGTTAGATATTACTCGTTCATCATTCAGCACCTGCTTATTGAATACCTGCTATGTGCTAGGCGCTATAACAGTTATTCATTCAGAGTGTATCTATTCAGCACCTATGTTCTAGACACTGTTTAGCCAATGAGAACACCACCATGAGTAATACACACATTCCTATCTCGGTGAAGCCAGGAGTAGGGGAAAAATAAAAAGAACATACGGGAAGTCAGATGTTAATAAAAATGTTTCAATAAACATTCAACAAGAGAGAGAAAGGGCGTGTGTGTGTGTGTGTGTGTGTGTGTGTAAACATGTCCATCTGTGAGGGGAAGGGGGAAATCAGGGGAAGGCTCACTGGAAAGGTGACCCGAGAGAGGTGAGTAGGAGAGATTGGGGGGGGAGGGAGCATTCCTAGTGGAGGACACAGCACATGCAAAGGCCCTGAGGCTGGACCGTGTCTGATGGAGGAATAGTGAGGACATCTGTGTGGCTGGAGCAGAGTGAGGGGGGAGCGAGGGAGGAAATAAGGGCAGGAGATGATGGTATAGGTGGTGCAGAGCCTTGGGGGTCCCAGGGAGGTCTTGGGCTTTTATTTGGAGGGAAGTGGGAGCCCTGAACTGCTGTGAGCAGAACAGGTTGGACTCAGGTGCTCTCAGGCGCCCTCTGGTGGCTGCTACCAAGAAGTAAAACTGTGGGGATGAGGGTGGGAGCCAGGGACCAAGGGAAAGGGCAGAGCTGGTACCAGAGTACATGGAAGGTAGGTGCTCAGTAAATTTGTTGAATGGATGAATAAACAAATGATTTCGAAGTATCTCTCTGGCTGCCAGTAAGGGACAGATTCAAGAGGGATGCAATTTCCCCACCTTCCTAGGGACTCTGACCTAGAGTAGGTCCTAGCTGGGGCCCCAGCAGCTGAGGGGCAGAATCAGAATTACAGAAGAGTTGCTTCACACCACTCATCAGGGCTCCTAGGAGCTGGGTGGTGTGACTTCGCCCACTTCCTGGGGGACACAAAGGTGCAGGGCAGGCAGGACCCTGCAGACTCACCTGAAATGGGCTTGCGGTGGCTCCGAGGCTCCATGCCCGGCAGCCTCATGGTCGCCTGGCAGTGGAGGGTGAGTGGGGCAGGTTTCCCCAGGGGGGGAAGCTGCCAGCGCTTTGTCACTTGGAACAACTGGCCCTCACCCTCCTGGGGCTCCTCGTCCTCCTCCTGGCCCAGGTCCTGCACCCCCTCCAGTTCCTGGTCCCCCAGGAGTAGGGACAAGGAGAGGACATCAGGGCTGGCAGGCGTGATGTTGTGGGCTGTGCAGGCCAACTCTTGGGCCTGCCCGGCCACCAGGGCCTCCGGGGAGACCGTCAGCTGGTCCGGGAAGGCTGTGTGGGGAGGTTTGGAGGAGCACGGGCTGAGCCTAGAGCAGTGGTTCCCAACCTTTTTTTTTGGGCCACGGTCCACCTGAGCATCTCTGAAATCCTGATGTCCCCCCTGTTACATACAACTTTAAAATATATATATTTCTTTATCGATTTCAGAGAGGAAGGGAGAGAGGAAGAGAGAGAAAGAGATAGAAACATCAATGATGAGAGAGAATTACCGATTGGCTGCCTCCTGCACGCCCCCTGATGGGGACTGACCCGCAACCCAGGCATGTGCTGTTGGCCAGAATCGAACCTGGGACCTGGGACCGTTCAGTCCGCAGGCCGACGCTCTATCCATTGAGCCATGCCGGCTAGGGCCATGTAATTCTCATTATTCAAAAAGTGAACTCTATTCTTGTGGAGGAAGCCTACAAGGCCATTAACTTGGTCTAAACAAGCTTTAAAGAACACGGCATCCATGAAAGACAAAAATAAAAGAACGAAAAGACAGTTGAAGTACTGAGAAAGAAATCACTAAGAAATTATTTTTAAAATAACATGAAGTGACATGAAAAAAAAGCAAATAAATTTTCAAAACATGTAATAGAGAGCTGAAATGCATAAATATGTCACTATATATATATATATATATATATATATATATATATATATATATATACATACACTATATATGAGGCCCCTAGCACCAAAAGAAAGGCAAAATATTCACTGTTAATAACTCATTCTCGAATTGCCCCCCTTAAAGATCAAATTGCCCTTTTGGGAACCACTGGCCTCGAGGGTGAAGACTGGGGCCCTGAGGAGGGTGATGCGTGTGGGACCAAGCAGGATGGAGGAGGGACTGCTGGTGCAGAGAGACAGGGAGGACCCAGTGGTCACACCTTGAGTGGCTATAAATGTAAAAAGGATGCTGGAGAGGGGCCTAGCGCAGAAAGAGGGTTAGTGGTCAGGTATGGGAGGTTTGGGGGTAGGTTGGGGTTGTGGGAGTGAAGGCTGGGAGCCTGGGGGGAGGGGGGATTTGTGGCGAGAACGAAGTGGGTTGCATTTCAGTTTGAGCTGGAGCAGGGTGGGCAATCTGGGAAGGCTCCCGGGCCGAGGTGGCATAGAAACAGATAAAGCAGGGCTGCGAGGAGGGGCGGGGGCTCACCGAACACCAGGAGCCGCACGGGGTGCCGGAGAGTGTGGGTCCCGCAGGTGCCCACACATGTGTGGATCCCCGCGGACGACAGTGAGGCGTTGTGCACGGAGAGGACGCTGCTGCCGGCGCCCGACTGCACGGCGCCCAGGCTGGTGTCCAGGCCCCGCCACTGCACCACGGCGGCCCGGCCGTCCGCACAGGCCCGGCGGCAGGTGAGCTGCCTCGATTCGCCCACGGCCACTGCCACCACGGGCTCGGGGGGCTCCACCTCCAGGCGCCCACCTGCAGGTAGACAGCGCTCTCGGTCCCACCCCCTCCCATCCTCAGACCCCTGCCCCAGCTCCCTCTCTGCCCCCAAGCCTCCCAGCCCCTCCAAAGCGGTCCTCTGTGGATCCCCATCACCTTCCCTGAGCCACCCCACCGCCCTCCACCGAGCTCCCTCCGCACCCTCCCTGCTCCTCCCTAAGCCCCCTGCCCTCTCAGAAACCCCTCTTTTCATCGAAACCCCCTCTTCTGAGCTCCCTCCGCACCCCTCCCTGCTCCTCCCTAAGCCCCCTGCCCTCTCAGAACCCCCTCTTTTCATCGAAACCCCCTCTTCCGAGCTCCCTCCGCACCCCTCCCTGCTCCTCCCTAAGCCCCCTGCCCTCTCAGAACCCCCTCTTTTCATCGAAACCCCCTCTTCCGAGCTCCCTCCGCACCCCTCCCTGCTCCTCCCTCAGCCCCTGCCCCCTCGGCGCCCCTCCCGTGCTCACCGCGGCCTTGCTGGAGGAGCCCCAAGAGGAGGGGGAGCAGGAAGGTCAGGCCCTGTTCCATGCTGGGCCCCGGCTCTGTCCATGGCCCTCGAGAAAAGTGGCTTAAATAGCGGTGCCTCGGGCTCCTTCCTGCCGCCCCAAGACCCCGCTTCTCCTCCCTCCCCCGCTCCCCCCGCCCAGCTGCTCCTGGGGGTTTCCCAGCCTGACCCCCGACCCTGCAGGCGACAGAAAGGCTGGGGCTGGGGGCCAAGGGGGCGGGGCCAAGGTCACAGCAGATAAAGCGGGGATGTTGGGGGGTGGGGGTGGGGTGGCGGGGCGTAGTTCTGAGCCAATTCCAAGGCTCCCTTTTGGAGACGGAAAGGTTGGGAGGTGCGGCCGGAGGAAGGAGACCGTGAGGTCAAGTGAGTGGAAAACCCAGCGAGGCTCCAGGGTCGGCGCCGCCCGCGCGCCCCGTCGGGCGAGTCTCGGCCTTCACTGCCCTGAGCCGCCGCACGGGGTCAGTGCTGAGCAGCCGCCTTCCCGCTCCAGCCGGCGGCCTGGGGTGCGGGAATCCCCTGGGGGGGGGGGGGGGGGGGGAGGGTCTTTCCTATGGAACCTTCTGCGGGAGCGGGTTTTTCTGGTGGTGGGGTCTCCTGGGGTGATGGAGCTGAGGCCCACCCGTGCCTGAGACACGTCAGGGCCTTCCTCTGAGCATGCTCCCCTCTGTCAGAGGTGCAGGCTGGTGGGAGCCTGGGGGCCCCTGGCCTGAGGGTGCCTCGTTCCATAGAGAGACTTGCGTCTGGGGGTCCACAGGAGTGGCCTCGGTGCCCTCCTGGCCTTTGCGGGACTAAACCTCCCAGGAAGAGACCCTGGCCAGACTTCCCATCACAGCAGTCATCCATCAGCCCGTCCTGAGGCCTGAATTTGCCTCTCAGCCTAGTTCCCGTTTCCCTGTCTGCCCTTTCCACCTGACACCCCTCAGCACACAACCTTCTGAGCACACAGACACCCCAAGGCTGTCTATGGCATAGAGCAGTGTTTCCCAAATTTCTCTCATGATCAGAATCAACTGGTGGAGTTGTTAAGACACAGATTCCTCCCGCTGAAACCAGTTTAGCTCAGTGGTAGAGCATTGGTCTGTGGACTAAAAAGTCCCGGTTTCGATTTCGGTCAGGGGCATGTACCTTGGTTGCCGGCACATCCCCGGTAAGGGGTGTGCAAGAGGCAGCTGGTCAATGTTTCTCTCTCATCGACATTTCTAGCTCTCTATCTCTCTCCCTTCCTCTCTGTAAAATATCAATAAAATATATTAAAAACACGCGCATACACACACACAGATTCCTGAATCCCAACTAAGAAGTGCTAAACTAGGATTTTTGAGAATTTATAGGTAAAATTGTATACTTAACTTAGTGCTCTGTCTTAGATTCTAGTTTAGCACTTCTTACTTGGGATTCAGGAATCTGTATTTTAACAACTCCACCAGGAGATGGGATTTTTAAGCACCACCGCCCTGCCTGTGTGTTTCTCCCCAGCCTTTTGTCAGGGGCAGAAACGGAGGCTCTGAGGGGCTGGAACAAAAGGGGTAAACTGAGGCTGAGGGACTGAGGCCTCAGAGGCAAAGGTCCATGTGTGTGAACTCAGTATCCACCTTCCTTGGTCCCAGCCCCCCTCTGCCCTGGTGCCGGGAAAGGCCGCACAGGAAGATGGACTCCAAGTTTCTGTCCTCCCCAGCCCGGAGGTGTGGGCCTTCTCGGGAAGCTGGGCCCTTAACCCAGCTGGCCTGGAGAATGGGCCTCTTCCCAGGCTCTGACCCCACTTCCTGCTGCCCTGGCAGTGGAAGCCCCTTGCAGGGCGTGCCCAGCTCTCTGGGCCCTGCCTCTCTCGCTGTTGCCCACCCCAAGCTCCCAGGTCTGAGCTCTACCTGTGTAAGCGGTGGGTGCATCTTCACATTCAGGTTCACGCCGCTGTAAGAGAGCACTGGGGAGAACCCCATGACCTGGGGTGGGTGGGTGGGTGGGTGGGTGGGTGGTCAGTGCCACCACCCTGAGGATAGGTGGGCTGAATAGATGAAGAAGGTTCTGGGCAGAGGTGCAGCCTAGGGAAAGGGAAAAGAAGGGGGTGGAGAAAGAGACAGACAAAGTGAGGGGGGAGAGGGGTGGCATGGGAGAGAAGAGATAGGGCAGGAGTCTGGGTGGACCTCAAGGAGGGGGGAGGGGGAGACCCCTGGAAGCCTGAGGGCAACAATAGCTGTGGACTGAGCCAAATTCACACCTGCATCTGGGACATGTGGTGCTGTCCCTGGAAGACTCAGTCCATGGGAGCCGGCGGGTTTTGGGCTGAGGTCCTTGCTCAATCCTTCCTCCCCGCAACCCTTGGCCTGGGCTTCCTGCAGGCTCTCCCCAGATCCCCTTCCCGGCATTGTCCCCACCAGGGAGGAAGTCCTCAGCCGCCACGGCAGGAAGCTGCCTTCCCACGGAGGGTCCCAGCCCCCTCTCCAAGACCCACCTCCTGGCCTTTCCTGCCCCAGGACCACACTGGTGCTCTGCAGGGACGTGGGCCAGGAGGGTGTCCAGGAGAGGGAGCCCTGGAGACGCCTTTTCCCTCCAGGAACACCTCGCCAGCCTGGCCGAGCTCCCCTCTCCGGCACCACTGGTCAGTTGGGGGCCTCGAGGCTCTTTCTTTGAGGAGGGCTGCAGCTGTGAGGGCAGGTGGGTCCTTTGGGACCGCTGTCAGATCCCCCCCCCCCCATCTCTGGTACTGGGGGACCCCATACCTGAAATGTCAGCCCAAGTCCTGCCCCTTGGGGTCACTCCCTGTTTTGGTGGAGGCCTGGGTGGGTCTGTGTAATAAATGACCACACAGAAGGCTCTGGAGCAGGAAGGGATGTTTCAGTTCATCAGGTCTTCCATCCCCTGCTGGCCCCTGAGCTAAGCTGAGGGGGCGTGGCAGGAGTGACACCCAGGGCACCACACTGGGGGGTCAGGACCCCGAATAACTAACTAACAGAATGCCTGTGGAGACAGCATTGTTTGATGAATCTGTTCGATGAAGCTGAGCTCAAGTTTGGCCAAACAGGTGGTGGCAGGTGGCCGTCCAATGGGTCTGCATGCTGCCCAGCCCCTCTGGCCGTCGGGGGCCCGAGATTTAAGTCCCCAGGAGTGTCAAGGGGAGCCAAGGCTTTGAGTGGTGACACCTGGGTTCAGACTGGTTGGAAGTGGCGAGAAACTCCCCAGAGACGGCAGCTGGCCCCCCACTGGGGAACACGGTTCAGGCGAGCAACTCCAAGGGAGATAGGTGTAGGGAGGAGCTTTGAGGGTGCCAGGGCTCCTCACTTGCCCCGCAGGGCAGGGAGGCACGTCTGGGTGGGAGCGGATTTGGGAGTGCTGGCTCTATCACCCCAAGGCAGAGGATCTGAAGCTTGATCTCTGACCTCAGGCCCCGCGGCTACCCAAGGCCTTGCTGTTCTTTAGAAGCAGCTCCTTACTGGGGAATTACAGGGGTGGGGTAGGGTGGGTGGGTGGGTGGGGGGAGAGGAGCCTCAGGGACTCATCACTGGGCTTCTTGTGGGCGCTTGTGCTGGCCGATGGAAGGGGCTCTGGGAGCAGGTGCAGAAGAGGAAGAGTGGCTGGACGTGGTCTACTTTGGAGCATGGGTGGTGGGGATGAATGAACACAGAAGGATTTGGCGTGGGTACCAGAGCTAGCTGTGGGCCCCATGTGTGCAATTTCCTGTCCCAGACCAGCTGGCCGCCCCTGGATAACTGACCCAGCAGAGAACAACCAGGTCACACAACAAACAGGGCAGGGCACAGCCCTGAGCCACTCTCGGCTACCGGCCACCTGAAATGTCATTTAACATTTATATTTTATTTTTATTTATTATTATTTTTTAAAATATGTTTTTATTGATTTCAGAGAGGAAGGGAGAGACAAAGATAGAAACATCAGTGATGCCAAAATCAGTTTGGCTCAGTGGATAGAGCGTCGGCCTGCGGACTGAAGGGTCCCAGGTTCAATTCCGGTCAAGGGCATGCACCTTGATTGCGGGCACATCCCCAGTGGGGGGTGTGCAAGAGGCAGCTGATCGATGATTCTCTCTCATCAATGTTTCTAACTCTCTATCCTTCTCTCTTCCTCTCTGTAAAAAGTCAATAAAATATATTTTTAAAAAAAGGAACATCAGTGATGAGAATCATTGATCAGCTGCCTCCTGCACGCCCCCTGCTGGGTATCAAGCCCTCAACCTGAGCATGTGCCCTTGACTGGAATAAAATCTGGGACCCTCCAGTCTGCAGGCCAACGCTCTATCCACTGAACCAAACTGGCTAGGGCTTATTTTATTTTTAGAGAGTGAGAGGAAGGGAGAGGGAGAGAGAGAAACATTAATGCAAGAAACATGGACTGGTTGCCTCCCATATGCACCCCAACCGGGCATGGAATCCACTACCTGGGTATGTGCCCTGACTGGCAATGGAGCCAGCAACCTTTTGGATGATGCTCCACCAATTGAACCACATGCGTCAAGGCTGTAAAATTTAATTTTAATTTCAACTTAAAAACAAATACTTAACTCAGTTACTGGAAAACTTCAGTCAGGGAAACAGTCCTTAATGAAAACTGAAAGTGCCCTCCACAGAGACAGAAGTAAACCTTTATATAAACAAGGGTTCCAGCCCATTCCTGATCGGTCAGTTCTCATGTAAATGAGGACTCCAGATCTTCAGTTTGATTGGTCCCAAGAGCACTGCATGGCCCTAGCCAGTTTGCTCAGTGGATAGTGGGTCTCCAGTTTGATTCTGGTCAAGGGCACATGCCCAGGTTTCGGGCTCGATCCTCAGTAGGGGGCGTACAGGAAACAGCCATTCAATGAGTTGCTCTCATCATTGATGTTTCTATCTCTTCTTCTCCCTTCTTTGAAATCAATAATATATATATATTAGAGGCTCAATGCATGAAATTCCTGTAAGTAGGCCTTCCTTCCCCGGCTGCTGGCAGCGGCTTTCCTCTGTCACCAGGGACCCGGGACCCGGGTTTCCCTCCCAGCCCCAGCTTCATCTGGAAGGATGTCTGGTCTAATTAGCATATTATGCTTTTATTATTATAGATATATAAAAAAAGGCACTGCATGGGGTAGTTGGAATGAAATGCTCTGGTTGGTCCGTAAGATGCA